GAGAGAATGGACTATACCCCCTTTTCTGAACTCGACAACATCAGCGCCTCTGCCTATGCACGTCTTCTCCTTTACCGCCAGATGTGTAGCGAGGTGGCCACTGCTCTGTGTTATACTTTCCGGTGGATCGATATCACGGACCGATATGTCTGGATCGACTGTCCAAGCTGTGAAAAGGATTCTTCAACCAAGCGTTTCATGTTCCACAGTCAAGTTCCAGTTCGGTGCTGGTGGGTTCAGAGCATGAATCGCTCTGCGAAGCTACTGCAGAATAGGCCCAGCGGCAAGGTGATCTCTTCACAGGGATGGTACCAGCAAGCCTTGAAGGAAGCTGCTGCGTGCCCCATCTGCATAGCTCGAGCTGTGGATGAGCTTCCAGTTTTCGCTAAAAAGTTCGCAGATAAAGTAGACGAAGTTGTGGCTGAGGTCAGTTGGTATTCAGTGCCGCTCACGAAGTATCCCATTCAATCCCTTCGCAGGTTCAGCTCGAGCTAAAGTGACGAAAGCTGAGTAGCCGGATGGCATGGCATGGCGTGGCGTGGCTGGTAAGTATATTCACCTTTGTCGACTATTTGCCGACAGTGATAGTGCGTTTACTGAAGAGAACAGCTGTACCAGATCGGAACAGCTGTACCAGATCGCGCTTCCTGGGTCCACCTCACCCTTGTGTCTTTGCTGCTTATCCCTCATTACTTTCATGCGCCGTTGAAACTTTCTTCCTGTCAGTATGGAGAGCCACAGATTTTACAATTTGCAGAGTCGATTGAAACGCTCGGACCTTGCATCTGCAAAAATGAGCCAATCGATGAGGCCAACATGCGTTGGAAAACATGCGTGAAGCTATGCAGCTAGTCAATCCGGTCATTAGACGCATTCTGTTGACATTATTCCCGGTATGTAGACCTTGAATGATGCGAAGTTTGCTGTTGGGCACAATGTCAAAGGAAGCAGACTGTTTTTTGGGCCGTGCCAACGTCCCGACATACTGAAGGGCTTTATGCGGCACGTTGCAGTAAATCTAGGCTTTCCTTGAACATTGTGCTAACCAGGCGGATTTATCGACTGACATGAAAGGGATGATACCGTCCATCAAGATTTTCGAGCCAGTTTCAGGACA